CTTCTGCCCGGCTGAGGCTGAGAGGTCCAGTCTGTCCTCAGCTCCTCCCTGCAGAACACCCCTGGGCCTCGGACCTGAGACGGAACATCCCTGCCCCGGGGACGGTGGCCCCAGAACTCTTTCCTTCACTTTTCCAGAGGAACGCCGGCCTGGCTTGATGCCCAAGCTGCCCAGGATGTTACATGCTGCTTCCATCTAGGTCAAGAGCTGGTAACAGTAACACAAATGTGGACTTACCATTCACTCGGTCAGCAAATAGTTACCGATTACCCACTATGGCCCGGGAACAGTGAGAGCAGCTCTAGGTGCTGGGGACACGGCAATGAACCACGTCTCTGCCTCTGCACAACACCCCAGTCGGGGGAGGCAGAACAGAATCAACAACACAAATTGATACCTAAGACTCGGGCGGGCGGGCGGTAAGAAGAGCTGTGAATATTATGAAGCAGGCAGGGGCCTGAGAGCAAGAGGAGGTTTCAACGGCCAGGAGAAGCCTCTCTGAGGAGGCGACGCTGGAACACAGTTAGGACGGCCTGTGGCATCCGAGGGGACGGGGTTCCAGACGGAACCAGCCGCTGCAAGCGGGCTGCACGGAGCTGCTCAGCCTTTGAGCGGCATCCACACGGCGCTGAGAACGTTCCGGAGTCACGAAGGGAGTCGGAGGGCTGGGTCTCACGGGACCAGGTCCGCCAAGTGAGATGTTCATGTTTGATTTGAAAGGACGGAGAGCCATTAGCGAATCCGTACATAGTGTGGCACGGACAGTTTTACAGTTTAAAAGCAAAAAAGGAAAACAAACAAACTGAAGCCACCAAAATACCTCTGGCAGGCTTCCGTGGTCCCAGCCGCTCGCAGTGGAGCAAAGTCTCGAAGTGTTCTGTTTTTTTTGTTTGTTTGTTTGTTTTCATTTAAAGAACAGAATGAACAGACAAAATATCCTCTTTCTCTGTGTCACAGAGACACTCCTGATACTCTAAACCAGAGGTCACTGGGGCTAGGGCTGGTTCTGCAACCTCCTGCAGCCAGACGGAGCAGAGTTCGGAATATTTTCAGACTAGGAAGAAGTCCGCAAGTTTAATCAAACAAATTAATGCAGTCCTGGCTGGCGTAGCTCAGTGGATTGAGCGCGGGCTGGGAACCAAAGTGTCCCAGGTTCGATTCCCAGCCAGGGTACATTCCTGGGTTGCAGGCCATAACCCCCAGCAACCGCACATTGATGTTTCTCTCTCTCTATCTCCCTCCCTTCCCTCCCTAAAAATAAATAAATAAAAATCTTTAAAAAAAAACAAAAAAATGCAAATTCATTTCTCTCGAATCAAAGAAACTCCTTGCCACACACCACTTTGAGGAGAGGGGGACCGGCTGGGGTGAAAGGGAACCCAGTCGCAGCGCCTGCATTTCAGAAAGGCTGGCATCACAGAGGAACACGCCACGTTCACAACTGGGGCAGGGCGCGCTGTCTGTAATTTGCTCATAAGTTGCCAGCCCTTCCCACACAACTTTGCAAATAAAATGCGACACTTGTTTAAATATTTACTGGCTTGTTGACCCATTTTTTTTGCTGTTGTTGTTAATTAGAATTTTTTCAAAAGAAAAGAGACATTGTAACGGGAAATTAATCCCGACAGCCTCAACAGGGAGACAGCTCAGCCAGGCTCCGGTTAGGCACTAAGTCATGACTTAGCAAACTTATAGCATCCAAGGGGAGAGATTAATTAGAAATATCAGAAATAGGCTCTGAAGGTAAAAAAAAAAAAAGGTTAAGGCCCACCCCTACCTCCAATCTGTGGCTATTACATTAACTCAATAGATGCGAAAATGTTCCTTTAGAATGCAAAGTTTCAGCAATTGTTTTTCTGTTATTTCCCCTTAAATGTGTGTTTAGCCCCAAACCTCTTTTTCTTGCAAGAAGTGGTTGGCCAAACAATTCTGTAGCTGTCCCCACAAAACGAAACAGCTATTTATAAGATGTTGCACTGGAGTCCTTGCCTTTTAAACATTTTTAATGGTTTTCTGCTTCAGTAGGCATCTTCAGGTTAAGTTAACGCCTTCTACCTGCTCCTGTCGGGGGCCTCTCTGAGGTCAAGCTGAGAGGACCTTCGGGATCTCAGGGACAGAGGGGTTTTCTGTGTCCTGACTACCGGCCTGTGGACTCCAGCTGCCCTGGCCAAAACAGAGTTGACTCAGAAAGTCTCAGCAGAAAAGTCTGACCCCAGCAAGCGCTGTTGCCCAGGGCTGCCATCGTGACTCAGGCCTGCAATGGCAGGGCTGGGGAACAAGGACCACAGGGATTGAGGTGGTCATGGAAAAGGAATCACATGGTTTTGGCGGTCAAAGAATTTCTCTAAGTGGACTAGACGTCAAGGTGGCGCCGCAGCTGCAGGGCGATGTTGTTAACGAGAGCCTGTCAGCTAAACACTTAGTGGTAGACAGCTGAGTGTTGAACAGGTGTTTCTTCTTTACAGCAGCGGAAAGAGGTAAGTAATTCTGTGGCCTGGTTTCCTCTGATGAGGAAGTGGAGGCTCCGAGGTCTGGCCCACCCTTCTGTGCCACTTCGCCCTTTGTGCCAAGGCTGGAGTTCCCGGCTGGAGGAGGGGAAGTGCCGACCTAACCCTAGAGCTGGAGGTTTCTCTCACCCGCTTTGCTACTTTGCAGGGAGGGTGACCCAGGGCATCTCCAGGGATGAACAGCCTCTCCCACTCTCACATGAGCCCCATCCATGGCAGGTCGGCGGGCCAACTAGGGAGGTAGTAAATGGGAGATGGCTTCAAAGCCTTTGCCACTTCTCCTATCAAAAAGTGAAACCAAGCCCTGGCTAGTGTAGCTCAATGGATTGAGCATGGGCCTGTGAAGCAAAGGGTTGCCAGTTCGATTCCCAGCCAGGGCACATGCCTGGGTTGCAAGCCAGGTCCCCAGTAGGGAGCACACAGGAGGCAACCATACATTGATGTTTCTCTCCCCCTCTTTCTCCTTCCCTTCCCCTCTCTCTAAAAATAAATAAAAATCTTTTTTAAAAAAAGTGGAATTGAGTGTCCTTCCCTTTGAAGGATGAGGGCTGGCCCTGTTTCTTGCTGTGACCACTAGGAGGTGGCAGACGTGAAACCGTGTAACCCCCAAGGCTGAGCTTTAAGAGCTGCCCGGCTTCTGGCTCTGTCTGCTCAGAGCACTGCTGGTGGAACCCAGTCCCGGAGCTGTACGACGCCGTGAAGAGGAGATGCAATAGCCAGCAGCAGCCACCAGCCCTGTGAGTCATCTGGGACATTCCAGCCCAGTCCACAACACGGGAAGCAGAAGAACCGCCCCGTGGAGCCCGGGCAAACCCAGATTCATGAAAACTATTGAGCGGGGGTGGCGCTGGTTGCTCTAAACCCCTGAGTTGTGGGGTGGCTTGTCTCACACCAGTGGATGGACAACACAGTCCATTTACCCAGGAAAATGCCCCCGTGGACAGGAAAGATCTGGACGGTGTTGTGTTCGTATGTGGAACCCCTGGCTCTGATGTGGCCAAGTGAGAACTCTGCCCTAGAAGGCCCCCCATTTGCAGCTTGGGGAGGTGTCTGAGGCGGGGTGGGCCTGTAGCAGTGATGTCTGTGGCCCCGCTGAGCACAGTGCATTCGTGTCTCCCCACAGCACTCCCAGAGCGCTTTCCTTTGCGAACGCCTGGGTCTCCCTGTGCCTCGGAGGCCCTCGCCCGGGATGCGCCTCCGGATGCGCCTGGCCCGGAGTTCAGGAGGAGAGAGTTGGAATCCATGCCAGTGAGCTCACAGGGGCTGGGAAACCAGCAGGGGACTCTCTTTCCGACACGCCCAGTTTAAAAGGAATGCTTTTGTTGCCAAATGGACATGTCAGGAGCACCTCTCTTTGGCAAATTACTGAACTTAATCCTCATTAAATTACAGTGAGGATTAAAAGTGGAAATATACGTGAAGTTCTCCGTGCTGTACCTGCAGGATGTAGCTACTCTGTAAATACCCTTTCTGAACGTACAGTGGGTTTTGTTTCACCATGAAAATGGCCCGTGACTTTAGTAGCCTACCCCTGAAAAGGCAGTTAATTACGAGTCAAAGGAGATGAGTATATTCAAGATTTATTTTCAAACCTGCCATTGTGACCCTCCGTAGTATGTGCGGGACTCTCGCTAAACCAAAATGACCTTCATGAAGTCACAACTCGGGCAGGTGGCCTGTGTCCGTGACGTGCTCTGCCCGACCATTCCAGGAAGGACAGGCAGGGGCTGTTCTCCAAACCGGGCTGGCTGCACTTTTTCCCCAGGCCTGACCTCGGGCCAGAAGGTCCTGTGTCTGCTCGCTGCACGAGCCTCTCGTGGAGTGCAAAGGGGCGGGAGGTCTCAGGTCCATTCACACCTGGGGAAGAGGAGTACGTGCCCCACTGTGGCATGTACGACCTGGGGTGCACACACACACGTTTCCCCACAGCCGAGTGTGATCCAGCTCCCTCAAATTCTCTCTACCCCGACTGCAGTCGTGGTGGGTTTGTCAGACCTCCAAGTTTCCAGAAAGACGGAACACCCTGGCACTCACCCAGTCCAATAAACAGAGCCAGTTCTGGACTCCGGGTTTAAAAAAACCAAACTTCTTCAGAGTGGTTTGGAGAGGCGAAGCGAGGGCTACAGTTCTTTGTCTTCCTTGCAAGAGACCCAACCCCGAACACCCCTCTTTCTTCAAAGATTTCTAGGGGAGGCGGCTGGCACGCGGGAGAGGGACACGGCTCTCGTTTCCGCGGGTCCTCGAGGCAACGGAGGAAGCTCAGAGGCCACAGGAGTCTAGTTAATGAGCAGGTTATACAATATTCATCGTGCCGAGTTTAACTCTTCAAACAGAACGTCTAATTGCGAAAAGAAAAAAAAAAGCAGCTAAATGCAGATGTTAAGACAACAAAGCTCGGGAAGGACGCTGTTGATGAAAGCGTCCTGTCGCCGCTTCCTCCTCCTCCGCGAACCGCGCCGGGACAGCCGCCCCGCGCCCGCCCATCAGCCGTTCTCATGAGCGCTGCTCCGGCTGCCACGCCAGCCCCGGGGGTCTGGCGAGGCCACAGAGGGGCCTGGGCCGGCGGGCTGCTCGGACAACTGTTCTCCGACTCCCCACAGAGGGAGCGATCCGGTCGTGTTCGGCTCCCAGCCAACCACACCCGTTCCCCCGGATCTGCCTGACGTGCCCGTCTCACCGCTGTCGCTCTTGGCAACAGCGTCTGGGGCAGGCTCCCCGAAGGACACCCGGGTCTGCTTGCGGCAACGCTGGGTGTGCAGGTAGCAAAGGCCAGCGGCCAAGACCATGGCCAAGATGGCCGAAAGGCAAAGCAGGGCTGCCAGCTGGGGAGTCCCGAGCTGCACCTCCGAGGGGGCACTGGCTCCCTCTCGCCCAGCCTCAGGCCTTGGCTGGGCCTCCCTGGGGTGGGCCCACCTGCCCTCTCCATTTGCCTCCTTCACTCCGGGCAGCTTGTGCTCGGACTGGGGCAAGAAGCTGGCAGAGGGCCCGGGTCCCTGTGAGCAGCCAGTATCAGAGGGTGGCCCAGGAGAGTCCCAGGTGTGGAGGACAGGAGATGGGTTGGCTGTCCCAGCCCCACCCCCACCCCAGTCGGTGGCTCAGAGGGCCGGAGGCACTGAGGATAGGTAAGAGGGACAGTGTCCAGCCAAGGCCTCGTCACTGTCCTGTTGGAGACCTCCACCTTGTCCTAGAAAAGCAAAGGGGAAAACGTCAAAGGGGCCGGTCTTCAGCCTAGCTGCCAATGAGCTTACAACCAATCTGTGTTCTTTAAAGAATTCCAGGCAGCAGCTGAAAACCCAGTCTCGTGCCTGCTCCTTAAGAGAGCTCAGAGTGAAAGGCCCGAGTGGATAAATATGCATTTGTTACCGATGGGGACAGGGCGGCTAATGGAAGCCCCACGGAGAACATGGAGGCCAGTTGCAAGAATAAACAGGATGGCTTCCGGACCAGTACCAGGGACTGTCATCTCCGATGGCTGAAAGCTGCGTGTGTCTTTCTATGCTAACACCCATGCAAGAGGGACCATTTAGTCTTGATGATGGTTCCGATAAATTTGAGTGAGAACATTATACCGTGTTTTATTCCGAATTCCTTTGAAGACTTCAAATGAATAGTAAATCAGTGGGCATGCATATGGTATCCTGCCCATGGAGCTAACCTCTGGGACCTTGCATCGTCTTCCGAGGTCAGCGTTATGAGGAAGGGGTTGGGAGCAGGGAGGAGAGAGGAATTACTCACCAAGGCTGGGTGGGGAAACAAATCACTAAAACCATCAGTTTCTACAATTGCCAATAATAACTTCAGGGACAAAGGCCGGTATTAATAGGTAGAACAACTCAATGTGTGTACTATGCCCTTGCCGCCTTCTCTCTTGCTTTGGCTACTAGTCTAATAGCTCTGATTTCCTAGTCTGGAACTTTCCACGCTGAGTGCAAAATACCCACCTCATTCCTCCCTTGCATAATGTGGGCTATTACCTGTTCACTCCCACCCGAGGGCAGGCAAGTTTCCAGTGAATCAGAGCTTGGTTCGCCCTGAGTCCTAAAGGGAAGAATAGAAGTACTGAGAAGAGGTCATTAAGCATTTGGATCAAAAAGCAACCTTTCCTGTCGCTGCTGTGTACGCTGATACAATCAGATTTCCTTGAAAGATGGCTGAGTTTGGAGTCGAGGCTGGAGGTGGGGGAGGGAAAGAGGGGAGGGAGGGTGGCAGCAAAGAACGCAGTGAGTGCTCTTCTTTATTCTTCTGTATAAGTATATATTTATGCACTATAAATGTATATATCTGAAATGTAAAACATATGTTTATATTTTGTTTTATTTATAGCAACATGTCGGAGACCGCACCCTGTCCGAGAGAGCACACGTCCCCAAGGGATTATCATACCCAGCCCTGTTGACCAGTGGCCCTCCTACAGTCAGGGTTTCTCGTACCCTTCAGAATGAACATGCTTGAGATCTCTTACTATCAGACTCCAAGGAGTTTACATTTCCTCAGCACCCCGGGGTTCGGCATCACCCCACCACCTGATGGACTGGCCCACCCCCGCCTATTACCTGCAGCGGTGGTGGGTGCTGGGGCTGGAAGCAAAGTCCTGGGCGAACAAGCTGCTGAGGGCCACGAGCCTGTCCAGCCCACGGGCGTCCAGGGAGGGTTCGAGGGTTGGGCTGCTGTCCTTGCTGTGTGGCGGCTGGCCATGGCTGGCGGTAGTAGCTGTGTGTGGTGATGGTTGGGACACAGTCTCTGCACCCCCAGGAAACTTGGACACCCCAGCACCAGCCGGAACAGGACCTGAGCTGTCCTCCCCTGCAGCCCCAGCCAGGGCAACAGCAGGGGCATCTGCGCGCCGCTGCAAAAGAGGGCTGGGCAGCCTGGGAGCTGAACCGAGGCCCACAGACACCACAGAGAGAGTGAGAGCGTTTTCCTGGCATCGATTAGCACCGACGGAGGCAATAACGGGTAAATACTGGAGACTTGAATGGGCCTCGAGGACAGACCATTAAGTGTGAGCCACTCAAAAGTGTCAACATAAAAATGATCTGACCAGCAGCACAAGCCCTGGCCACGCAGCAAAGCACACTCCAGTCCTTCGGCCTTTCCAGAGCGCGGGTCTCTGGGCCTCTGGGCTCGTGCGTTCCTCACAGGCACCCACCAGGAAAGACACAGAGCACTGCGTTTTTTCTCCCCTCTGCCAAAAACTGTTCCTCGCTAGAAGAGAAAGTGGAACCTCACAGATTGAAGATTGGTAAAAGTCCTCAATTTTTCTTGCCCTATTCATAACACTACGGGTTTCCCAGATACCCCAGCCAGGTGGCTCAGTTGGCTGGAGCGTCGTTTTCTGTAGACCAAAAAACCTTTTGGTTCGATTCCCAGTCAGGGCATGTGTGGGAGGCAACCGATGGCTGTTTCCCTCTTACACAGGTGTTTCTCTCTCTCTTCTCCTCTCTCTCTAAAGTCAATGAGAAACCATAGCCTCTCTCAAGTCAATAAGAAAACTTATCCTGAGGTGAGGATTTAAAAAACAATAACAGTGAAAGAAGCTTCCCAGGTCATGATGATGATGTGAGCCCCTGCTGTGCAGCCCTGCCCCTCACTGCCCCCCCACCCCCCGCCTCGTTCCCCCGTGAACGGCTGGCAGGGTCGCCCAGCATTAGAAACGGCCGCACGCAGGGCAGTGACTGAGGGCAGGTTTTGTAGTCCAACCATTTCTGAGTTCTGTTCTCCACTCTGCTAATTCCTGGGGGCTTGAGGCAAGGTCTGGAGCATCAGCTTCTTCATTTGCCAAATGGGACCCGTGACCTTACTTCCAGCACACCCTTGCCGAGGGGGCGAAACGGAGTCGGCGAAGGAGAAGTACAAAGCCCTGCCGGCACAGGCGCGCCCCAAGAGTCCACCACCTCGATGATTGGATTGGGGGACAGAGATAGTGGTCGCAAAAAGCGTTGGCAGAAGTTGCTCCGCCCAGGACTCCAACCGGGTTGGGTTGAATCTTTCTGGGGGAGCAAAGGGCATGCTACTTTGCTCCAATGCCTTCATCACCCTGAAACATCGAGAACCAGTGAAAAACAAAGAAGCCTAACACAGACTCGTAGAATGTGGCAAAAACTCTGGCAGTTATTTTAAGTTCCCGCTTGAACTCTAAATGCATTTGGACATCTGCAGACCCACTGTGTGCCAGCACCATTGCAGGTGCAGAAGGGGCACAGGTCGGTGATCTGTTTCTGAACTGAAATCTAGGAGAGACTCTTAGATGCCCATCCTCATCCATGACAGTGTGACAGCCTCAATACCAGAGCTAAGGAGGCGACTATATCTGCCCCCCAAGAAGTATGGGGAAAAGTTCCACAAAGGAGAGATCTGAACTGCCCCTTGGAAGAGAGACAGATCATCGTGAGGAGCGGCCCAGTGTGTGGAACGGTTAGAAGGCAACACTTGGACTCACGGAAGCAGGTCACATCCGACGCAGTCGGGCAGGGCCCCAGAGTGTCCCAGGGGTCTGTTGGGAAACGTCTGAGAAACACAGTAGGCTGTCTTCCCATTGTGAAAATTCATAATTCCCACTGGCCTGCTGAGGTCTCCTCACAGTTACAAACCTGTTGCACTTTGTTAGATGAATGATACCTCCCCTCACACACACACACACACAGTCATAGTCACTCACTCCTTTTTCCCCAGGTCAACGGTAGGGTCTGTGGAGAGGGAGAGGCAGGACCACAGGCTGGGGCCAGAAGAGGAGGCACGTCAGCGGCAGGATACGGCGTCTGCCCTGTGGCGGCTCCGGCTGGAGTTCTCAGCCCCTGGGAGACGAGCCTCCCCGCAGGGTCAGCCACCACAGAGCGGGTGGGACCCGCAGGACGGCCCTTCCGGAAGCCTCCCTTTTATTCATATCCATGTTAAAAGCAGCATGCTTGGGGTTAGAAAGCAACATTTGCGTGATTTATAAAAATAATCATGAGACTTCAGACAGGTGGTGGGCTGTCAGGGTCATCTTCAGGCCACTTGGAAGTGTTTTCTCTGCTCTCAGGACTATCCTGGTGGACAGGCTGCAGGAGCAGTGCTGGGCACTGCGGAGCAGACAAGGTCTGGGGCAAAGGGGTGGCCAGGCGTGGCCCTGACCTTGGCTCTGCCAGATTGAGCACAGACAGGGATTCCGACTGGCTCCTGGGCATGCCGTGCTAGCCAAGAATGACGGGAAGGAAAAAGAAAAGTGGGATTGAATGGAGTGAAGACTAGACTTCCTAGGCAAGTGATTGGATGCCTTTATGAGTGCATGTGTTCAGAGAACTGAACTAGAAATGAATAATGAAAGTGAACCCCAGAGCACCAGTAATTTTCTGGTAGGTCCAGCACTGTCTAGCTGGATACTGTTTTAATTTTTTGTACTTCTGGATAAGATGGAGGCATAGGTAGACACACTTTGCCTCCTCACACAACTAAAAGAAGGACAACAACAAATTTAAAAACAAAAAATAACCAGGACTGCCAGAAAATCAAACTGTATGGAAGTCTGACAACCAAGAAGTAAAGAAGAAATATTTATTCAAACTGGTAGAAGAGGTAGAGACAGGCAGCCTGGGTGGAGAGGACTCACAGCAAGGTGGCAGCTGGGGGACCGGGTGGTCCCACATTTGTGTGCGGATAAACCGGGAGGAACGTCTGGGCAACAAGACAGACCACACAACCCAGGGTTCCACTGCAAGGAAATAAAGCCTCAAAACCTCTGACTGTTAAACCTGTGGGGGTTGCAGTGGTGGGAGAAACTCCCAGCCTCACAGAATTCGTCAGAGAGTCCTGCAGGGTCCTAGAATGTACACAATCCCACCCACCCAAGAATCAGCACCAGAATGGCCCAATTTGCTGGTGGGTAGCAGGGGAAGTGGCTGAAAGCGGCCAAGACAGTGGCATTGTTCCTTCTCCCCCACATACAGTGCCTCAAGGCAGCGAAGAGGGTTGCCCCACCCTGGCGAATACCTAAGGCTCTGCCCCTTACAATGTAACAGCTGTGCTGAGACCAGGAAATGTGGCCCGAATGAAAGAACAGATCAAAACTCCAAAAATAGAACAAAGGAACAAAGAGATAGCCAAACGATCAGATGCAGAGTTCAAAACACTAGCAATCAGGATGCTCACAGAAATGGTCAAGCAAGGTCACAAAACAGAGGAAAAAGTGAAGGCTGTGCAAAGTGAAATAAAGGAAAATGCACAGTGAAGGAACCAACAGTGAAGGGAACCAACAGTGAAGGGAAGGAAACCAGGACTCAAATCAACAGTTTGGAGCAGAAGGAGGAATGAACATTCAGCCAGAACAGAATGAAGAAACAAGAATTCAAAACAATAAGGAGAAGTTTAGGAACCTCCAGGACGACTTTAAATGTTCCAACATCTGAATCATAGGGGTGCCAGAAGGAGAAGAGGAAGAGCAAGAAATTGAAAATTTATTTGAAAACATAATGGAAGAGAACTTCCCCAATCTGGCAAAGGAAATAGACTTCCAGGAAGTCCAAGAAGCTCAGAGAGTTCCAAAGAAGCTGGATCCAAGGAAGCACATACCAAGGCACATCATAATTACATTACCCAAGATAAAAAAGGAGAGAATCTTCAAAGCAGCAAGAGAACAGGAAACAGTTACCTACATACGAGTTCCATAAGGCTATCAGCTGATTCTCAAAAGAAACCTTGCATAGAAGAAGGGGCTGGAAAGAAGTATTCAAAGTCATGCAAGTCAAGGACCTACATCTAAGATTACTCTATCCAACAAAGCTTTCATTTAGAATGGAAGAGCAGATAAAGTGGTTCCCACTTAAGGTCAAGTTAGAGGAATTCATCATCACCAAGCCCTTATTATATGAAATCTTAAAGGGATTTATCTAAGAAAAAGAAGAAGATAAAAAATATGAAGAATAAAATGACAACAAACTCACAGCTATCAACAACTAAACCTAAACAAAAACAAAAACAAACTAAGCAAACAACTAGAACAGGAACAGAATCACAGCAATGGAGATCCCATGGAGGGTTATCAGTGGGGAGGGGAGAATGGGGGAAAAGGTACGGGAAATAAGAAGCATGAATGGTAGGTACAAAATAGACAGGCAGAGGTTAAGACTAGCATAGGAAATGGAGAAGCCAAAGAACTTACATGTACAACCCATGGACACGAAATAACTTGGCAGGGGGTGCTGGTAGGAGGGGGTTGCAGGGTGGAGGGGAATAAAGGGTAGAAAAAATGGGACAACTGTAGTAGTATAATCAATAAAATATATATTTTTAAATGTTTTTGTTTTTGTTTGTTTGTTTCACAAGTTCCACGGGCCAGTGGCGTCTAAAGCCACACGGTGAACCAGGAAAACACTCCATGCCATCCAAACCGTCTCTCACTCCTGATTCTATTCTCTGACCCAGGCTGCAAAGAGCCATCTACCTACTGTGGAAAGTCACAATGAAAACTGGATGAGTGTTTATTTAAAAACAGAAGAAAAGATCATTTTTTTTCTTGAGCTGCCTGTGAGGATGGGCAAAGATGGGGCTGGGGGGAGGTGGGTGCTAGTTTGGGGGGTTGTGGCACTGTTCAGACTCTACAGTCTAGAGCTCAGCTTGATCTGTGGGGCTGAGCAGACAAAGTATTTGTTGCAACAAGCACAGCCACTGCACCCACCCCAGCCTGCTAACGGCTGTCCCCATGTCCCCAAGAACTGCTTAACAGTCAGCCAGGACCAGCGTTGACTACTTGTGTTGCAGAAACTGGAAACTAGTAACTCTGAAGTGAAAATAGATACCCAAAACTAAAGATGGCAACCCAGCTACTGTATACAGTGGCAAGCTGTACCTGGCACAGGTCCTTGAATATCCTCCGGCCTCTGCCCAGAAGTTGGCACTGGTGGGCCCAGTGCCACGCGGCCGTCGGGATGGGCTCTGCTGTGTGTCTGCTGAGACACAACAGGTGATTCGATCCTTGCCCAGTACACGAAGTAGGACTGGACGACTGACAAACTGTGGAGGGAGAAAGCGCAGGGTTGAGGGCTCAGCTTTCCTTCAACGATACCGCGGGTCGTCCCATTAGACTAGAGAGAAGGATGACAAGATGAAGAAGAACGAAAGTCTAAATAGATAGAAGAGCCAGAGAGAAATGATTGCGTTCTCCCTGGAGTGACTTCATTCTTTTAAAAAACAAAAACTCAATAGCAGCGGATATTGGAATTAGGAAAGGACAAGCACAAATCAAGAAATATAGTCATTAAAAATATCGTTTTAACTCAAGGCTAGCTTCTTTAAGTATTTCAACTCAAAAGGTCTTATCTTAGACTTTATTATTAGCTACTACTGGTCTATTGTTAATGGAATTGAATTACATCATCAATTGAAAATTTATAATTCTTTTGTACAGTTGTACGATGCTACTGTAATCACAGATTCTATTGAAAATTAGAAATAAATCATTAATAAATACTCTTAAGTAATAGTTTGAACACATAATGACTTTCTTCAGTAAAAAAAATAGTTTCAGAAAGATTATCTCATCATTCTCCCCAACATTTCACCAAGATAGGGATTATTGGCAAATGCTATTTTTCTCACTGTGAGTATTCAGGAAGCAGTTATAAAAATGTGGCCAGTTAGCTGAAGCCATCCAGAGAGCTAAGGTGCTAGCAAGAGTCACGGTTCAGGCCCCCACAGGTGGACGGTTACTGCGGGGAGGGGTCCCAGGGGTGCGTGAGCACGCGGTGCCTCTGGGAGGGGCTTCTGATCACTGACTTAGCCCCTTTCTGCCAAACGCAGATCATAGCGTCTAAGCTACTTCCTTTGTAGCACCACATAGCAGCTATGATGGTAAACCCGAGAACAAAAATGAGATGCTTTGAGAAATAAAAGTAACTCCACAGGTGTGAGGACTTCACACACCACACATGCCTGCCCGGGGTCAGAACCAAGGGCATGGCAGGAGCTGGGTCACGCCAGCAGGCAAGCGGGCACCGTCCTGGCACACGGTTCTGCCCCTTGCTGTTCCGCCTGCTGCATTGGGATGCAAGGGGGACAAGGAAACCCCTCTCTGCTCACAGCTCCCCTCTCTGCTCACAGCGGAGGGGAGGCCTGGAGGGGGAGCCCGGGGTCTGGATGCCGCCGCCCTCGGGTTCAGCCTCCCTCTTGTATATGAGTGAGTGGGGGGAAAAACAGCTGAGGAAGAAAAGAAACACACCCCTTTCTAAAAACAACGATAAAATTCCCCTTCTTGGCAAACATGAGTGTCTCAGTCTGAGTAATGGCGATGCTTGCACAGCGCTCTCTGTGGCCAGCACGGTTCCGGGCCCCTGGCCCACACTGGCCCCCGGGCCCACACTGGCCCCGCCCCCACCCCAGGATGAGGTGCTATTATTGTCCCACCCACCCACGGGATGGCCAGCCAGCCAAGGGGCAGAGACTCAGTGGCTTCCCGGCCCCAGCAAGGTGTCCACCTGTCTGTCTGCCTCCCTCTCTCCTTCTCAGCCCTGTCTCTGCCCTCCCACCAGCAGCCCTCTGGTCCTCTACGGAGAAGTTCCTGGAGCCCTTGACCAAGGTTCACCTGTGCCCGGGGGGAAGGGGAAACCACACACTCCAGACCACGGATGGTGGCAAGGAGGGGAGACGGGGCCAATGCTCTGTAGTTACCATCCATGGAGGCCCTCTAGTTGGGGCAGCTCCAGGGGCCCCATCCCTGTTACGACGCTGCTGAGAGGTCGGGGGTGGAGGGGCAGCTCCCCTCTTTCCAAAGGGGAAGGCTAGTTGCTAAGACGCAGCACTTCGCTCTCGTACAGGAATCTGATGTCCCCCACGGGCTGGGCGGGGGCCTTCCACACGAAGGACAGGGTTCTCTTCCGGGACTTGTCCGCGTGGGTGACCGTGTCGGCCGCTCCGAAACAAGCCATAAGTTTGGAACGAGGGGGGATGAGCAGGAAAGTGCCGGCTGTTTGATGACCAGACGCTCTCCGAGCCTGAAGCAGGAACCCCACGAAGTCACGGCCGCTCCTCACGGTCACTGCGGCAGAGAACGGCCACTGGAGGTGACACGCTTGGTGTGGGGCCGCTGGGTTCCAGGTGGCAGCTGTGACACCGCAAGCTCGGAGTTGGAGACCAGCCCCCACCAAACGAACTACTCACTAGGGAAAAAAAGAAGTTGATGTGCTGTTTTATGTCACAAATGATTTCCATTTGGATCAGAGATATGTGAAAGTGTTTTAAATTCAAAGAATTTAAAACAGTGTGTTTAAATATTGGAGTTAGGAATGCCCTTCTAAGCAAAAGCCAGGAACCATAAAGAAAAAGATGATTTTTTTAAAAAATTCTGAATATGGAAGAAACAAAAAAAAATGATAAACTGGGAAAGTATTTGTTAGCTACTAAACAGACAAAGATACCAATGGTTATAGTGAACCCGTAAAAAGATAACCCAAAATTATGAAAGGACACCACAGAAAATGAAACAAACTCAAACAATATTTTAAAAATAACTATAAGTGAGATACTATTTTATACCTGTCACATACACAAACTTTAAAATGTGTCATTAGCACCAGTTCCGGCTGAACCACAGGAGAGTGGGAGCACTCACTCACTAACGCGAGAACTCCGCGTCAGGCAGCTCTTTGGGGCGGGGGATGGAGTGGGGAGGGTGCGGGGCCTGAGAGTGTTTCCTGTACTCAAAACTCAGTCACCTCTGATGCATGCCACTGCATACAAGGGCCTAGAAAACACTCCAGTGCAGGAAGTAAGCCAGGCCCCAAATGACACATAGTGTATGATTCCACTTACGTGCAGTACCCAGAACAGGCAAGTTCATAGAAACAGAAAGAGTCGAGGTTACCAGGGGCTGGAGAGACAGACAGACATACATACAGAGAGAGATTGTTTAATGGGACAGAGCTTCTGTTTAGGATGATGCAAAGGTTCTGGAGGTGGACAGTGGTGATGGTTGTACAACATTGTGAACGTGCTTGATGCCAGCAAGTTGTCTACTTAGACACGGTGAAGTTGACCTTATGCATAAAAACCACACACACCGGGCAGTGACCCTCAGTCACCCCCTGATTTGGCAACTGACATACCTGTGTAGGGCAACGTGGCGGACCCTGAGGTCCACTACCCAACAGCCTCTCTCCACTTACTCTCTGCAAACAGAACCCAGATGTTATGTTCACGTCACAAGTGGGGGCCTCTCGCTTTCAAAACACGCTTCTCCCTGCCCTCAGACCAAAACCGCTGCTACAGGTCCCTCTTTTCACCCACGACCCCAGTCTGGCCAAGGACAGCACGTCAGCTGAGAGGGCTGGTGGGTACTGGGGGAATAAATCTCCCCCACCTGATGCTTTATTCCAGTTTCGGTACCAGGGCGGGACCTACGACTCCAGCAGCCCTCCCGAGCCTGGGCGATGACCGAGGCATGACACCCAGCTCGCTGACGGTGGCTGAGCAGGAAAACAGAAACACCTCGAGTCTCGTCATCGCTGAGTGTCTTCACCAAACACAGAAACCCCCACCGCCAGACCCAGTGAGAAAATCAAACGGCTTTCCTTATCCGTCAACGTTCTGTCCATCAGCTCCGTTCACCTGCAACTAAAAGAGTCCTGGCTCGCACAATGAGCAGAAGTATAAGGGTGTCCGAAACAGGGCTCACAACGCCAACAGTTACAGAAGTAAATAAATATCCAGCCATAGGAAACCAGTTAAATCCTTCACCTGGTCTCTAGACAACTGAGAGTCAGGAAATCATTGAAAATAAGCTTGTGTATACAATAAAAGATGCCGATAATGATCGCTAGGTGACAAATACAGACATTGAACGAAAGCTTTAATTCGTGTCTTCATGAGGTTATCTTCTTTTGGGATGTCACACATACATATGCTTCCACGCATGGACAATTCCTGGAAAAACGTGCAAGAAGCAACAATGGTTGCCTGTAAGGAATCAAACTGAGTGTCCAGAATAAGGGAAAGCAAACTTTCACTTTTCAATGTTTTATGATAATGCTATTTGTGCCCTTCTCTCTTGTAAAGATGAATATCAAGGTAGAGATTCGTGATGTGGTTCTCAGGGTAACAGATATTTCATTCCTATCTTTTGCCACATAATTGCCTCTCAGGATTAAGTCGTACCTCAGTCCAAGAAACTCCTGGTGGGACAAACACAATGTGGAGTTCGTCACGAGGGCCCTGGGGCTGTCTCCAGGCCTCTCTCATACCCACCTGGCACAGTGTCCCCTGGCGAGTAGGAAGACCTGCTGGTGTGAATGGTGACGTGGTGTGTCCGGGGGCTCTGAGGCTGGCCGTGGATGTGCCGGGGCCGCATGTCCTCACAGGCCACCGGGCCGGAGCCGTGGGAGAAGGCGGAGGAGCAGGAAGCCAGGCAGAAGGCCGCACAGAGCCAGCCTGCAAGGGCTGCGGGGACTCCCATCCTGCCCTTTCCTGCGTCACGAGAAACACCAGCGTCAGCCCAGAGGCTGTTTAAGTCCATTACAGTGTGACTGGCCTGCATCCCGCACACACCTTTAAACCCCAGGTACCTGTAATGCCTCCTCCCCAGGCTGCAGGCGCTGAAGGTCAAGGTCAAAAAGACACACTAAGCTATAGGGAGTATTTCCTTTCTAAACACGGTAAAAAAAAAAAACAACAAACCTTTCATCTTTTAATTTTCTCAAAAGACCAGACTGCTTCGTTTTAAAGAGAAGCTTTAATATTTAAGTGGAAAAAAGACAATAAAATAATTGTATCTTAATGTAAACTCCTGACGAGCTGTCTGCTACCCAAGGTCAGTGTGAGCTCTAATCCATCACTGCTGAAGCGAGGCCCCAGGATTCCAACGTGGTCGGCGGCACGGCGTCCGGTGGCTTGGCTTAACATTTTATCTTTACGATTGCAAATCGCAGAATTAAATGCTACAGAGTCCTGCCAACTATCAGCGATTCAGAGGTGGATTCTACACTCGCAATGCTCTCACAGCGCCTTGTCCTTCCTCCTGTTTACTGCGTTTAGTTCTCTCACGACTTCTTTGCAGACAAAGTGAGCAAAGGAAGTCGCAGCCAAGCCTGTCCATTCTGTGCCTCGTTACATGTAGTGGCAAAGAAGGAACTGGCTCAGGGATGGAGCAAAATGATCAGATAAAATAACATTCACAGAGTGAATTTCACTTTTGTTTGTCACCTTGAAGGGCCAGCAACAAACTGAAAGAATTAAAAGTTGACTGTGAAAAGAGGCTCACGGGTGAAAATAAAGTGAGAGGTGACAAATAACACAAGTAAAAAGCTCTCAGAATAAATATTCAAGACAGACATTTAAAAAAATAGTTTGTTTTTATAATCCTCTGCACAGGTTTTTTTTTAAAGATTTTATTTATTTATTTTTAGAGAGAGGGAAGGGGGAAGAAAGAGAGGGAGAGAGAGAAACATCAATGTGTGGTTGCTGGGGGCTGTGACCTGCAACCCAGGCATGTGCCCTGACTGGGAATCGAACCTGCGACACTTTGGTTCGCAGCCCGCGCTCAATCCACTGAGCTACACCAACCAGGGTGGCATAGGTATTTTAAAAGTTCCACCCATGTTTCCATCTAAGGAGCAAGGTAAAGCAATGACAGCCCTCCTCCCTAGTAAGTTGGTTTTAAAAGGTAAAAATAAAACGTAAAAAGTTAGTGAAACTAATTAGAAAAGCAGTGAAGAGATCATCCGTGCAACGAAATAATCAGACCTCACGGAGTCTCGTCTTACCTTCGGAGGCCTCCGCTGCCGTCGCCCTCTGTACTGCGCAGACGCAGCAGCGGGCGAGTGCTCGCCAGGTCAAATCTTTCAGACTCAAGAGTCCTTCTGACATGACCTACCTCTGCTAGGCTGGCTTTCCATGACCAGAAAGCTCTACACCACAAGGGACCATAAAAGTGTATTCTCCGTCGAGGAGGCCCAGGGCCCTGCCCACTTTCAGAAGGGCCACACAGAAAGTGCCCTTGCGCCCTTGTGGACGGCATGGCCTCCTCTCCCAGAGGCAGATGCAACCCAGACGCCTGCAGCGGGAGGGGCTGAGGGCCGCGTCCCGCGTCCTGGAGACCTCACTGCAGCCACAGTCGCACCGTCCCTCCCCCGATACCTGGTGATCTCCGCCCTCCCCCGGCACCTCATCCACCTGAACCCGAGAAACGCGCACTTGCCTGCGAGTACGCGTGCCTTCAGGTTTGATGGGATTGCAAGGGCACATCCTTTAAACAAGGATGTGTCTTTTCTTCTCCATTCAGTTTCTCCTCTAATGGGCAGGGAAACAGCTGTTGCCCTGGTCCTGGCGTCCACAGGAACTGCCCCTCCGCGTCCAAATGCAGCCTTAATCGCATCGGCTCGCTCTAAGACCCCGGGCACATACCCACCCCGTTTCCACACCAACACCATTCAAGCCCGCGTGCAGAGCTCGACAGAACGGGCTCAGGCGTTGTTGCCCAGGGCTGGCACCGGCATCCTCAGCGGGAGCTGGATGCCTTAGTCTTGGTCTCCCTGCCGGGGGAGAATGAAGGCATCAGCCAGCCTCGGTGTCCCCTGGGGCCCGAGTCCGTGTGGGCTCACGAGGTCATCCCCGGTGGGGGGGGGGGGCGGGGGCGGGGCGGGGTTGATGCCCGGGGGGCCAATCTGGGCACAGGAAAACTCCCCAGCACACTCCCTCCCCTCTCAATTGCACTGAGACTGGATTTCACGAGTTTGGAAACATGTAAGAATCACCAGAGACTCTTCAGCATAGCCCAGAGCCTGCAGAGCGGTGGTTCTCCAAGTGGGGTCACCAAAGCGCATGGTCAGCATCACCTGGACCCCCACTCCAGACCTACTGAGCCAGCAACCTGAGGGCCGGACCCTAGCAATCTCGGCTTCACAAGCCTTCTCCGTTATTGTGGTCCAAGCAAGATTTGAGAAGCACTGGTATAGGTTCCCCAGGCTTCTTTCTAGACCTGTGAAATCAAAATCTGCAGGAGGAAGTACTGGAAATCTGCATTTACATTCCACACCCCAGGAGAGGCTTTCGACCAGGCAAGTCAGGAAAATGCTGAGTTGAAGAATCAGCACAAAGTCAGTCAGTAGAACCTCCACGCCCCGAGGGGCCCTGTCCCATCTGGGGTTTATTGATGAAGACGTCGGGCTTCTCCAAGGACATTTGACCGATTACAATAAAAGTTATTAAAGTGAGCGTCTGAACACCAACCGTGTGCCAGGCGTTTATTTGGACAAAAAACAAAGGCAAATGACACTCTCCAGATTCACAACTACACGCAAGAACATGGAGGCGACTCCACAGCTACAGGGTGCATGATTCTATTTCTGGAATGTTCCGAGAAAGGCGAAGCCGTGGGAACCGAAACGGGTCCGTGGTTGCCAGGGGCTGGGGGTGTGGGGCGGAGTGACTGAGAGGGCGGCGTTTTGGGGGTGATGCAGCCGCTCTGAATCAGTGGCGGTGGTCGTGTATGGGCCTGGTAAAATTCATCGACTGCACACCACGGCTTCACACACATACAAGCCTTGTGTGAAAAAGCAGGAGGAACAGAACAAAACGAAGCTGACTGGAGTTCCTACGAGGCAAACGGTAAATGGGATTTTTTTTAATGCGTTAAATGAGATGAACTCTATGAAACTCCCCACATGGTTCACAGAGGTTACATTTGAACTGCATCTTGAACAGCAAGCAGAGTCTTTCCTGTCAATAAAGAACAGAGAACATTCTAGAATGAGACGAAGGTGCTGCAAGCACGGTAGTCTGTGCCCTGGCTGCAACGCCTATCGAGTCTCACTGTTCAAAGTGGGGCCGTGGGCCTGCAGCGCCCACCCCACCGGGAGATCAGGAGAAATGCAGACCCACAGGCCCCGCTGCGGATCCACGGAGCTGGTTCCTGCTTTTGAAGAAGCTTCCCGGGGCTTCCTCTGCACCCGAAGGCCTGGCCATACTCCTCTAGGGGGCCTGCCCACATCTCAGCCCTGGGAGGGTCCCTACCTCCCCTGTGAAAACCTCCCCCTCTCGCCAAGACTGGCTGGTTAGAAGTGGCCAGTTTCCCCCAGACCTCCGTCCATTCATTGATGAGCAGCAACCAGTCAGGCTAACTGGAGACTCTGGACCTTTCAAGAAACAAGGATCGTCTGAGCTAAAAGGCGAAGGACAGCTGGAGGGAGCTAGGCGACAGGGCAAGCTGAACCTGAAGGGCACTTCCAAGAGCTCTCTGGCCACTCCCCTCTCCTTCCCTGGGGTCGGAGGGAGAGGGCTCTCCCTGTGGGTGTGGAGTCCTGGAGAGGGCCAGGCCTGTGTGAGCCCGGCCTGGAAGGCGGCTTTGAGGGAGGAGGAGAGAAGGCTGAAAACGTGCAGAAATCAAATTCTGAAGATTTGTACTGGAATGTATCACAGTGAGGAGGCCGAACCACATTCAGGGTGGGGCGGAGGTGGGGGGGAAGGAACCGGAGGTCTCTGAACGTGGAGCCTGTGCCTTTGGTAACTCACTAACAGCCTTTTCCCACTGTTGAAATTGACCAGAGGTTTTTAATTAAATTTATTGGGGTGACCTTGGTTCATAAGATTATGTAAGTTTCAAGTACACAATTCTGTAACACACCATCTGTATACTGCATTGTGTGTTCTCCAGCCAAAGTCGAGTCCCCCTTCTGTCACCATACATTGGACCCCTTTACCCTCTTCTATCTCCCCGCCCTCCCCTCCCTCCCCGCCCTCCCCTCCCTCCCCTCCCTCCCCTCCCTTCTGGTAACCACCCTGCCGTTGTCTGCTTGACTAGTGTTTTCACACACACACACTGCCCATCCTGGTATGGATCCTTGTGAGTGTCTCAGCATTTACCTAGATAAAAACATTTTAAAGCCTACAGATTTCTGGAGCTCTGGGACCATCTGTGTAAGAAGAGAAAAATTCTCACAATTTTCTTCAAACTCAACTCTAGGTTCTTAAAAGTGGGAAATCAATGGACATTTACATATTGTACATTCAGGTGTCATGTTGACTTTTGCTTTATTCTTTATGCTACCGTACACTTTTTTCTTCCATTATCAAGAATGGTTTAGTGCCCTTTCTCCACCCAATGATCCACTCCTCCATTCTCCCTGCTCAGGATGTTAAACTCATTGGTATTTGCTTATTTGCAAAACAATACTTAAGATAGTCAGCGGCTGATGCAAGAAGGTATCAGTGGGATCTCTTTTCTCTAATTCCCATTTTACTTGGGGTGACAAGCAACATATAGAGGATGAGCTTGGAAGACAGCAAGTTAGATGCATGACTTTGGACAAACAACTTAATGTTGGTGAGCCTCACTTTTCCCATCCGTGAAATGGGAGACTGTTCCATTTCTCACAAGCTCGTTGCAGGGACTGTGTGTACCGGCAAAGGAATGCATGGCAGAAAGTGAGAGCTATCACCAGACGGGAGTGAAAGCCAGGCCATCAGAGGTTAGGG